TCGTATCAATAAGAAAGATTACGACCGTAAAAGTGTTTTCTCTGTAGTGGTCAAAGTGATCATTGAACGAATCAAATGGGCGTCTGTAATGCCTGGCAATGTAGCCGGCTGGAGTTGCTAAGTTCACTTCCTTTACAACCAACAGTTGTCCTTGAATCACATAGCGTTTCAATCCACTTGGTCTGAGCTGTTCTTTTTGGTACAATGACGTTTCTGAATCTTTAAAGTGAATAAGCTGAAGTGTCCTGCCCTCCAGTTTCATAGCGAACTATGTTTGCTAGTCTTTCCATCCTTGTTTGCGATGTCCATGTCACTGAGATATGTGCTATAGAAAAGAAAACCGTTCATAGTGCTTGTCAAATGGTCGCACTGGTAGGATTTCTTCGCCTCCTCCGTTTCTTGAACTCTCTTCTGACATCTCAGAAACACTTCCTGTGGCACTGATCTCATCTGCTGGAGTTGACTTCTAGGCCTAAACATTAATCGCTTTTGGTGATATTGACTGAAAACGAAAAGTGGAGCGCTAGATGTCCACCAGGTACCCAGTCTGTTCCTAATAGAAGTCGTCTTCTCCAGTTCATCTGATTGCAACCACTCAGATCTTTTCACCCTACGTTGAGACCCTTTTGCTTTCAAAGGCTTCCATGACTTCTACTGCCTCAGCAAAAACGAATAAGCTCGTACAAGATGATGTAATTATTTGCCTACCTTCTATGTAATGCAACATCCTTTCGACACTTATTTTTATTCAGTTTTGCTTTTTTATTTTCTTTTAACTATTAATACCTAGCATTAGTGATTGCTGGTTGACACTCATTATCTTTTCTTAACATAACCCGTCATCACATCTACTGTGCGGATCCCAGCACTTCTCTCATTCGGTTCGTTTCCTCGCACTCATCGCCCACGAATGTTTTCGAACATTCTCGTGTTGTTTCGGCTACTGCTTGAGGATCTCGCCTTTCTTACCAGTGTTACAGAACGTTGCTCGAGTCGGTTTTTCTTCCAATCTTAGAGATAGCCAGGCTAAGGTGTTTTCACGTGGACTGGAAGAGAACGTCGGGGTGTGGGGGTCGAACTAGCACCTTTGCTTCTTGGTTGACACCATCACTAACCATTGGACTACATCCTATCTACCAATTATTACCTTCTGTCATTATTTGTTTAATCAATATTTTTTTCTACTGTGTAGAACTTCTTTCATTGTATTCGCTTCTTAGCACTCATCATTCACGAAGGTTTTCGGATTTGTGCTCGTGGGTTTTGGCGTAACTTGAGGATTTTCGTTTTCACTATAAACGTCGTTCGATGCTGGTCAACTTTTGCTGAAGTCTTGCGATAGGTGTTGTGAAGGGTTCTCAGTTAGATTACAAGAAATCACTGAAAAATCGGATACGTTTTTCTACCACAGATGGATGCGGCTCGTTGAGAACGAGGTGCAGTCGAGGAAGCACTGTGCTGATGATGAACGACACATCACTACCACTGTGCTGCCCTCTCCATTTCATCACTACTAGTGGTACCTAGGTTACTACTATCACTACTATCTAATCACTAATTTTGAAAACCGATTCCCACTTAACCTCGGCAGTAATAATCAATAAATTTTGTTCTATTCATGAGCTTCACGAGGTTGTCATACAACTTTTAATCGCCTGTCGTTCCGAAGTCTCAATCTTTTTCACTGTTGGTTTGATCCGAATCGATTTCCCACTGCCATCCATTCTTCCCATCTGGGTTGTCGCCATGGTATCGAGTCATATCCTCTCTCGCCAGTGCCCTCTTATATAAGATCGTCGTGAACTGAATGTCATCTGATAATGGTTTCTTTTCATGACGACATCCATCCTGCAACAGTTGGGATTAAATTATAAGGCACACTGTTAAGTAATAATTTGAAAAGCTACTACAGGCCATTACAAGAGTCGAGCTGGCGAACCCTTCTCGAACCCATCTGTACAGACCTTGACGACTACGACACATTCGGAAATGCCCTTGGCAACTTCTTTGAGTCGCCGTCCTTCTTTTATTTAAAAAGATCCAGGATCTATCCAAAGTCGGCAGTACGCTCATATTCATGGATGATATCGTACACTGCATATTGATTAGGAAGTCCATAATACCTCATATAGACGTGTACTCCGCCTCTCCTTTTTCGCGTAGCTTATGTACTTGCTTACCTAAATACCTGGAGCAAACTTATTCCCGAATGTCAGCATCACCACATTCGTTTCTATTTTTTCTTTACCTTGAAATGGTCATAAATGCTGTTGTTCCGGTTTCAGTATGGAGACAGGAATGATTACCATCCTTTGGTCTTTAGTGCATTTCCAGATGTCGATACAGCTGGTTTTTTAAGTAATCTATTCATTAAATGGAAGCACGTCTGCCGATCAGGTATGTAATCGTCCTAGAAAACGCTTATATCCTCCTGGAGCCTACTAATTGTTCTTATCATTCGTCCGTTGTTTTTGACTTTTCCATCGCGTGAGTTGTCGCTTTTAAAACGTATTCGCCTTGATCTCGAAGATGAACTAACTTCTGAGCATCTGAACAGCGCGGTTTGAATAGATATTGCGCGTGCCGATTATATTTAAGGAAACGTCTTCAAGAGACACTAAAGGCTGTGAACAGAATCCCTCTCGTAGTTGAAATGTCGGTTTCCGACTTTGCCACGCGTTTTGCGGCTATGGGATTAAAAAGGTAAGCAAGGAATTCTGGACCCATCATCTGATCCGTAGTTTTTTGCAATGACAAACCTCTTTCCGTGTCTTGAATAACACCATTTTACACGTTCGTTGGATGCCTTACTCGTAGAATGTCACTTTACGTAAGAAGTAGTTTTTGTAGTCAGAGAAGTATCGTTTCCTCTTACTAGAACTGCTCGAAAAGGTAGTGTCGTCAGCAAAAATATAGTTTCGCAGTATATTCCATCAACGTGCGCACCCTTTTCGTCCCAATATTGCGAGTGTGTTATACACTACAATTGGAAGCGTCTCTGGCGAAATGGTGTCCCATGCCTGAACCCTTTCCCCATGAAAATGGCAAGATAATGATGTGTGATCTGTATCGTCGTCTTGCAGTTACGATAGCTCTCAGCTAGAGTTCTTGTTCAAAATGAGTGTACCCCTAGACGGCAGGCGCTTATAGTATAGCATTCGATTAGAGCCTGTCTAATACTCTCTCATAGTCGATCAGGGTTAGAATGAGGAGCATGTGATTACTCCTGACGGTCGTTCGTGGGCCATTACACGGTTTGGGTGTGCTTTATGCACCACAATCTCTACTGGAATCTTGCTTGTTATACGTCATCCAAAGTCCAGGGTAAGCGTGATGGGATAATTTTTGTGATAAACTTGTAGACCACATTCAACAAGGTAGGCGGACGATAGTTACGGCAATCTCTTCGGTCGCTCGTCTTTTTGCGTGTCACTGCAGTTTACTCTCATGTTCATGTGTGCTTACTTTACAACATTTAGAAATAGTTTTGAAGAAGAAAAAATAAAACCAGTTATTCTTGACAGGAATTTTGAAAGTTGAGATCGTCTGACAATGTTATGCATGCTTTTCAATTCTTCTGTCTACACAAGATGTATTTTCAACTCGATAATTTGGGTTTTTCTCAGAAGAGTCAGCGATTTCAGAATATGATCATTAAAAAGACTTTCGACGAATCAGAAGAGATCGTTGTCTCTAAAAAGGAGGTTGGAAAATTTATTTACTCTAGAATTTTCAGTAAATTAAAATCTCAGGGTGGCTGTAGTGCAGTGGTAGTCATGCCGTTCAAAGTGAACATTGTTCGATCCTGCATCAGGTTCACCAAACTTCTCATCTCTGGCCTGAAAATTGGTGCTAATCTTTCGATCAGTTGGTTCCTTCCAAGCCACAGTAGTGGCGATCGCCTGTGATGAAGATCTAAGAACCCTTAAACACGGCTATGTCCAGATTGCAGGAAGATTCAAGTATTCAGCGAAAGTTAGGAAGATAACCAAAACCCCCCAAGCTGCAGACGAAACCACACGCAAAAATTCGAAGAAATTCGTGGATTACGAACGCAAAGAAACGATTCGAATGCAAGAAGTCCTGGTATCTGCACAACATATGATGTCGGGTCATGTAAAATATAAATAAAAAAGCCTTAACAACCTTCAGATATCTACTCCGGGCGTGTATAGTGCAGTAGTCTAGGGCGCCCTGCAATACACATGGAATTGATCCTTGCGCCAGTGGCTCAACAAGCCTTCCATCCCTCAGAGGTCGGCGAATTGGTAGCGATCTTGTCTGGGAGGATAGCAGCACTGGTTCTACACATCCGTAGGTCACCGTGAGTCATTGTAAAGGCCGGATATGCATTCAATCACTTCTAAACGATGCTTAATGAAGTCGCATTCATGGCGCATGCCTCATGGATTGATCAACGCCGAGAACTTTATCCTTCTTTATCTACTCTGAGAAACTTGGAGAGATATTGTGACTACATTGCCATTTTCCCATTGAGACAGTTCATGGTTACTTTGATTTCTTGATATTTTATATTTACATTTTTTGCGTAATACAGATGAGGAGAACAACGGTCGGTTAAGGAGAGCTCAACATACGAAATATCCCGTGAGCTCTCTCGCTGGATACTATCCTATTTGTGTTCAGAGCTAATTAGACATGCTTTTTCTGGTAAAAAAAACATGGGAGCACAAGAAAGAGAAGTACCAGCTGTTATTCCCTCACTTCTTTTCGGGACAGGATGATTTCTACCTCTGCATTAGTAGTTCGACTGGTCCTTCTTTCATTCTGTCCATTGCAGTATACTGTACACATAGTGATTGCCATCAGCTTGCTTAGTTTGAAAAAGCAGGCGAATTTTTAAAAATTTTAAAAAACTTCTGAGAAAAACAATTTTTAACGCATGACATTTTAAGGAATGCGGAAAGCCTTGGATCTGGCAACAAGTTTTGATTCGAATTGCCCTTTAGGAGTTAAAATTTCGTCACAAAAAGATCGAAATGAACAAGGTGTTCCCAGTTCTAAATAAGGTGCTTAAGCTTCGCCTCTTCGCGCTGAACTGCCTGGAGAAGGTGGCGTGCTCGCCGTACCACGCACAGCAGCTCGTCGACATCCTGATCTGCTCCGACTACCGCGGACACTACTCGCACGGACTCAACCGCCTGCACGTTTATGTGCACGATCTGGCGACAAACTGCACCGCACGAGAAGGTCGGTGTAAAGCATCCGTCCATCACTCCAACACTAATCCATACTTCTGGAACATTCATGTGTGGCTAAGGAAACTGATTTATAACTCGGATTGTTGGAAATCTCCGGGGTTTTCTTTTGAATGAGTTGTGACTTTGAAACTGAAAACGTGTTTAAATGGTAAGTGTTTAAATAGATTGAATAAGTTAACTGAACTAGTTATCATCTATCGTCTTTTTGACAATGGACAGACTAAGGCGCATAACCAATATGAAGAACTCAAGTGATAAATCTCTTAAGATTCGATAAGGATAACCGAAACAGCTCGAGATCGGATTTAATTTCCATAGTCACAGAAAACATAGCGCCTTAGAATTTAGAGTCTCATTTGAAGTGACTGAGGAATTAATGACCGTTCTCAGCTTGGAACTAAAATGTCTCGGCTCATAGTGAATTTTAGTGGTTAAAAACGGTTAAAATATAGAGTTCTATAAAGCGCAGATTGTCATATTTTATGACGAAGCTCTGATTTTATGGAATCCCGAATGTATCGTCGTTGTTTGCGGCTATCCGGGTAGCTCCAAGGATTTTGAAAAATTGAATTGGACCAAAAATAATTAAACAATAAACAAAAATAATGCCCAAATTTAAAAAGTAAAAATTATACCTTAAATTTGTGGAAACCTCAATTCGAAACTGCTCTATAAGTGCCGCGTTTTTTAAAAAAAAAAAACATATTTACTCTTATGTAGATAGAGCAAAGTCTCTTCTATAAATTTAGCCTATGAATTTCACAATCATCGAGTACTCCAGTTACCGAAGAACTGTCAGCAGTTGTCAGAAAACGAGCTTGGGAATCTGTGCTAAAGATGATTTAACGACAAGAATGGAACAGTCAATAAGTTAGGTTTAACAGTGTCAAGAGAAGCAACTTTGAATAAGCATTGAATATAGGTGATTGAATGCAAATTTAACTCATACTTTGACTTATGGCGGCCTACTGATGTAGCCAGGTTATTGTTTTGTCCTTCCATGCAGACCACAGGATGGAAGGCTTCGTGAACTCGGGAGCAGGATCGAATCAGAATCCATGTGTGTATCACAAGATACATCCAACCACTGCACTACACGTGCCCTTCTTCGAAGAGTAGATTAGGATGAAAAAAGATTACTGCCATCCAGTCCATAGTGAATGAGAATGTCTGGACTATTTTCGGCACTCCATTTGAATGTAATTTGTTCAACAAATTCCTAATTCAGCTTTATAAAAATACAACGCATTTCGATTTTACTTTGCTTCCCACCTATGAGTTATATTGTTGATGGGGATGAAGCTACTAGCTCTCAGCGCTAATTTTAAAAAACGTCAACTGAACTTAGACCGATTTGCAAGTTGATGGTGTTCTTCGCTCATAAACCCGCTGAACAGCCAAGGCACGCTGCTATATTTGTGCCGTACTCGACGAGCCGGTTCTTTCTCCAGTGACGGTGGCCAGGCGATGCCTACCCTATGCGTTGTCGTAAAAACTTACAGTTCTCGCGCTGATAACACGATTTCTCTCCCATAAAAGAAACTAAGAGGTTTTTCAATTCCGTTATCACCGATGACTTGAGTAACGGGCTTCCTAATCCTATTTTATTCGCAAGTTACACTGGCTACAGTGCGCTGCTAGCCGAAGTGAATGTTCAGGCATTGTGATCGGCATCCGATGTTGAATCCTAAGAAAGTTTTCCTCCCGGCAGCATTGTTATAGACCATATTTGGACACAGTGGACTAAAATCCACCCTGGATTTGATGCCAGCAAACCTCGCAAGTTTACTGCAGCAGAACAACACTATCCTACACAACACGAATTTAATAAGTAAAAGGTGATCGACGTCGAATGGGAAGTCCTGCCTCATATCACGTACAACTCTAACTGGTGCTATGGTTTAAACATAATCTCTGATTCTTATAGCACTATTTCACTGGAAATAAAATCACTCAAAAACAGGATTTTGAGATTTTCTACACTGACCATACCGAGTCTTTGTAGAGTCGTCAAATGGAAGTATTCGACACTGAAACAAGTACTTCAATATCGAAGTCAATTGTACTCCGAATAATTATTTCACACAGATATTATTCTATAGCTCAGCTTCTTCACCTATTCTATATGTAGATGTTTTTAATGGTTCCGTGCTTTTATTCCAGACTATTGGCTGGAAAGAGAGAATCAATACTAGTAGGACTCAAGATATTTTACTGGGATTGTTGTTTGTTAATTTGATCTAAACTATTTAGGGGAACCAATTATCCTCAAAGAGAAGGGATCTACGGCTTGGGTAGATGGTCAAAATCTGCTCGGTCCAGTAGTTGGTAATTTCTGCATGAAGCTCGCCATAGAGAAGGTATCCCCATCTATCTGTGGTCACTTAAAAGTTGTTCTCGTGCAGTAATTTCTAATTTCGTCTGATTTGAATCCACTGGCTTAAAACTAGGCACGAAAGAATGGTATCGGATGGGTAGTAGCGAAAAATTCGAACCACTTCGGCATTGCCGGTTGGTACACTCAGAGTGCTCTCCAGCAAGGACTTGTGGTTAGTTACGAACTATAAGCGACTTCACACATAGAGGCAAAGAAATACTTACAGGGGATGGCATTTACTAATACGTCGCCATGCGTGTTTCCGACGAATTCGACCGAGAAAACCCTCGGCTCAAACCCGATTTCCCTCGCTGCGCCCGCTCTCAACGGCGACTCGTTTTTCCTCGATATGGCCTCGACCACTGTCGCTTATGGAAAGGTAGCTTTATATTAAAAGAAAATTCGCACCCACTATTTTACTTCAAGCCTAATTGGAATCGAATCACTTTCATTTCCACTAACTTCTATATTCAATTTTCACATACATCACATCTGTGTGAGTAAGCAAAATTCTGTATACGAATAGAAACTTCATTCTTCCGGATGTTCATTCTGAACCTCGTCGCTCCCTCTCCCAGTCCCTTCCCAAAAAAAAAAAAGAAAAAACGCATACACATGACGATGAGTTGAGAAAACCATTTTTTGAATTGAAAATCATTCCAGGAGTTAAAATCATTTTGCAGGGAACTCGTTCGATTCCAGAAAAATGACTTGTCGATCATCCATAATTGCCTACGCTCACCCTCAAATCTGGTGCTGCGTTAGAAATCTTAGCACCATAAGCGCTTGAGCACGCCGCTATATTTGTTATAAAATGTCCATCGAGTTCTTTTTATGTGTTTCTTGTGTAACACTCCTGGTAACTTCTTCCATTAAATTTTAATCAGATAGAAGTAATGGAGCAACGTGGCGCAAAACGAATTCCACGTGGATGGGGAGCAGATGATTACGGTGTCGAAACACAGGATCCCAAAAAAGTGCTGAATGGAGGAGGACTGCAACCACTGGGAGGATCAGAAGCCACTGGTGAGGGCGACAAAGTTCTGCACTATTTGTATATAAAACTAATTGTTTTTGCTAACGATCATTCTGATTACATTCTTTAATCTTATGTAATAAACCATGTCCATAAAAGGCATAATTTTCTAAACAACTGACGAACTTATGTTAGACACACCAACTGCAACTAAAATGGAATCGATAACAACAACCTTATAACGCCATGCGGACGCTGTGCCTTCTTGTGATACGTTTGTGACATTTTCTGAACTACAAATCAAAGCATAGCAAATTTTGTCAGGGCGGACCAAAAACGCTTGGAAAATAAAAATCCCGAAAACTTAACAACATCATAAAGAAATACCAGTTTTTGCATCAGAACAGAAAGTACGCGTAAAAGATATACTTACAATGGGGCGGGTAGCACAGTGGTAGTGATGCCGTCCATCATAAGCATGGTGCTGGTCCGACTCTCTAGACGATTGGTACCAGACTCGTTTGAGATCAGTTTACTACTTACAATCCAAGTGAGAACGCTCCGATCCTGCTATCTTAGGACAGGATTCTATGAGGAAAGAACTCGACCAGAATTCAACGATATTCACAAAGAAGATGACAATCTTAAAGTAGGAATTGAACCCACACGAGAAAAATTAGAATACCTTCGTGGATGATGGATTTGAAGTAACGAATCGGATGTAGGAAATGCTGGGATCTCTGGAGATCTGAAGGTGTATGAAATAAAACAAATGATAAAGATGCTTAGAACATTCGATCAGAGCTCATTCAGTTCATGTTTGAGTGTCTCATGCACTTTTTTACATTATATCATTCCAAGTTTCTTTATTCTCCAAAAACACACGCGTGATTTCGTGGATTTGTTCGAACGACGCCTGTGTTCCAGGTGGCTACAAAGGCACGGGACTCTGCATGATGGTGGAGGTACTGTGCGGAATCATGGCCGGTTCGTCGTTTGGCAAGTCGATCAGAAAGTGGCAGACGACTGACGAAAACGCAAATTTGGTACCTTTTTGACCATAATGAAAGAAGAGTGCTGTTAACGCACGTTCTATATTGAAGGGACAGTGCTTTGTTGCCATCGACCCGGACTGCTTTGCTCCGCAATTTAGCAAAAGACTTGGATGTTTCTTAGCCGAAACTAGAGATCTGAATCCGGTAAGCAGTGTAGTCCTTATGTAAAAAGAAGTCTAACGTGTAGAAAAAAAAACAGAAAAAGATCATTGCAAATTAAAGATTCTTAACTTCCTTATATAGGTGGCAGGTAAGTTAGTGGTGGTGATACCATCCATTACAACATACCCAGACGATGATTTGACTCCACCAACAAGCTTTCCGTTCCTCCTGGGGTCGAAAATTAATATCAAACTCGTCTGGGACTGGTCGCCCTTTTTCTAATCCTCGAGAGATATATGCGGAAAAGTTCGAAGACCTTCACGGATGGCGAATGTGAGCAAGCAAATCGAATGAATTGAGTGCTGACATCCGCACCACGTGATCCATGATGTCGGATCATGTTGTAAAGAAATCTACTTTGAAAAGTCAGATTTTTTTCACACCTACCACAACAATGTGTGGACGTAATTTTTATGAAACTGTACGTGGAAGGTCCCCTGGCGAAATCGACACTAACGAAACTCGATAAGCAATGGTTTCCGGGGAACAAACAGAAACGGAACAAGGCGGCGTAATTATTTGTCCATTCGTGTGATGTAACCAACTATTTTCAAACCTTCTAGCGGCACTACCACTTCTTTAAACATGATTTTTTGAAAAAGAACGAATGGAATAATGTATGAGGTATAGTCTTCTCGTAGGTGATGCAAGGGTACTGATTAGAGACCATGCAGAATACTTAGTCATTAGTTTGACCTCACGCTCCAGGCATTGTAGTCCCTCTATGAGTCCGGTCTCGGAAATCAGTTTCCAACTTGAGTATAGAAAGCTTCCTCTGATTCACAACGCTAGGTGAATGAAGGCTGGCGAACGTCCTAGACTGGCTATTTAAAAATTCCAAAGAGATCTACTCGCCCAGCTTCCAAGGTCAACAGCAAGACCGAAATCCTCGAGCAATAACCGAACTCACATATAAGTCCGAAGGACTTCGTAGAAGACCAACGCGAAAAAATGAGTCGAGTGATGGGAGTGCTGGGATCCGTACAATGTGCGAACGTGGACCATATAAATAAAATAAAACCTAAGAAAAGTTCTCTTAATGTTGATTAGTTATCCTACTTACCTTTGATGCTTACTACTCATCCAGGTTGATCCGTCACATCCTGTACAAGTTGCTGGCGATCCCGAACGAGCTCATATGTATATGTGCGATGAGCTGGATGGAATCGTCTACAAGAAAAGCCAACTTGCGCACATAGTGAGTTCTTCCGTAACAACACTTAATGACTCTCCAGTCTTCACTCATAACAAATGAGCATACTCTTGCTGATCGAACCAATCGGTTTCTCCTTTTCTTTCACTTCATATTTGTTTTCATCATGAGCTTCTATTTGTCGTACGCATAAAATTATGAAGCTATTGCCCACCTGTGAAAATAATGACCAATATCTGAGTTGGCTGTGGACTTCCTCCTTAAAGTAGAAAGAAAAACGAAAGGAGATCCTTTGGCAATGACTCCAGAAAGGGGTTTGTTGATATTTGAGTCTAAAATTTTCTCAAGTTCTGAGAGAACAGTCGACTACGGAGGTTCGAACCGCCGAATTAGATTGTTTGTTTATTTAATAATCATTCAAATAGCAATACGTGTCTCAATTTCTGGAGTAATAATCGTTGTCTTTCCAGGAAGAACTTGCAAACGATCTCGGAGTGCAAATGTTTGAAGTGAAGAAAACAAGCACAGAAAATCTCGAAGCTGATCGAAGCCACAACAAGTTCAGTGTACAAATTCAGTAATCAGTAACATTGTCAACCTTGTCCAGTTCCCTCCCTAAAAGCGAAACCTCTCCATATCACTGTTGTCTGATTCTCATTCAAGCCACTTTGCGGAATTCCAGAAAGAAACCATGTCATAAACACTTCTGTCATGGCTAACGACAGAATTTTGCGAAAGTATCTGGCCTTTAATGAAGGGAGCACGAAAGGGAACCATACTATGATTCGTTTGAAAAATGGAGATGGAAACCAGACTGGTCTAGTTATTAGATAACTAACTAATTTAAACCCAAAATCGCTTACTGGCTCCTCACTAAACAACGCATACTAACCGCACTCCCAAGATTTAATCCCATATACGCCTTCCATATTCTATGTGTATTCTTTGATGTTTTGTGGTTTTTCAAATGTGAATCAATTGATGGTGAAGCAATCCCTTCCAGTTATATCGCAATTCTACACTCAAAAATACACTCTTCAATTAAATGCAAACATCAATTAAAGAAAAATAGCAAGATTTAGAAAAATGGCAACACATCTGTTCTAAAATGACCATGAATTCTTCTTAACACTCTTACTTCGACGCCTAATTTTTCGCGATGTTCACCGTGACACCTATAGGGGTCACACCGGCCAATCCGCCAGTGATTAGTTAGCTCCGCTCCTTCCATTATGATTTCAATTAAACAACTCGCTTTTCCTCTGCGCTTTGAAGGGATTTCTGCTCTTCGGTTATCCTATGTATGCTCCATGTTCTTCTATACACCTTTACGTTTCTTGTGAATAAATGTAGAACTCGTGTGTGAAGAAAAAAACTCGTCCACTATGCAATCATACTGCTGTCAGCACTTAACGAGGTTCTGCAAGCAATATTAAAATGTTCCCCTTCTAGTTTCAATGCTCTCATTACAAGCAGTCGTTAAGTGATCGTAGCGATTCACAAGGAGTGTAGAGAAGCAGTTCTACGTGTCAAAAAAAAAGACAGAAAGTTATCGCCAAGAAAATGAAACCTATTCAGGTCACACTGGCCACTCCCGCAACTTCATTTACGGCGCCTATAGAGATCACTCGACGCGAGCGTGTTAACATTCCAAGAAAAGATACGAAGAGAACTTTATTACGAGCTCTCAGAAAATACAAACGAATTGGGGATTGGCATGTGAAATAGGAAAAAGCCCTAGAATTTCAGCAGTTAGCGATGACACTACCGAGATGCTTCAATCACGAAGCCAATTTATGACTAAACACTTATATGTCATTGCAAAGACTTCTAATATTACCTAAAAGTGAAAATAAAGTTTCGATTTTTTCGCACCCAATTTGGTACGGAAAGCACAAATGAGTAAAAAAAGAGAAACAAAACAAAGAAATGTCGTCTTAACAATGCAAGTAAATCGTACAAATGAAACAGATTAACAAGTATACGAAGCACAAAGTGGTTAAAACGCATCCATGACTAAAAGGATTCTCCATGAAAGCCGTCGAAATATACCTCTGATCAGTAATTAACGCTGTCAAATGGATCATACACAGCTTACAGTAGCTATATTACTGTATGAAATTCGCACAAAGATAGGTTAGATAAAGAAGTACTAGCAAGGTCGTCAAAATGTTCGAAAATGATAACTGGATGGGTAAAAGCGAAGATAAATCACGTATAGCACAGACACTACGCCGCAGTGTGTCCAAGGAAAAATGGCTCAAAGATATACACAGTGTAGTACAGACGTAGAAACAGTACAGAGACAAAACTATGTTAAGACACGTAATGATTCCTCTCACGTTAAAACATCTCGCAAGTTAGGCATGACGCAAAATGTATACGAAAATATCAAAGCAAAAAACTCATAAAAATCTCACACACCAAATTATACGCTATTTTCAAGCTAATCAGCAGTGCACAGTCATCAACACTGACCATCAATCCTCATCATCGAGCAGATCATCTTCATCATAGATGTCGTCTTCATCGCTGAAGTACATCTTATTGCCTACAATACCCGATCTGGACAGCACTGCACGCTTTGTCGAAATCCCAAACCTGTAATATTTAAGCGAAATAGGGATAAAATATGGTGTGCCTGCGACGTATCCAACTCAAATACAACGATTATGACGAGGAAGCAGACCAAAAGCACAAGAAAACTTTTAACACAGAACTCAAAAGTAGTGTTCCGAAAACTGAAAGTAATTCCCCGATAGCTGGAGTATTTCAGGAGTTTAGGACTTTACTGATTTATAGAACAGACCCTGTTCTATCACAATTACCGCATATACAGTCTTTGTGCCATCTCAGTGTCATTTCAAACTCAAACGTGTTTAGAGCCAAAACCTTCAATATGAGAATTGAACTTTTTTTAATTTTGAAAATCAAAACTGAAACTTAAGTTTTTACAGCTTCCAACCCGAGTAGAAGAAATAAATGTAAACGATACATTGCGAATGATCATCGTGCGCTTTAGAAATATGAACCTTGCCATAATACAGTGGATAAAAAAAATGTCAGGGGCTCCAGAAAACCAGATGTCACCTTGATAAAATAGAATCGTATGTATCTTGCAGGCAAGAATCTGTAAATTTGAGTTTTTATACCAATGAATAAGACCTAGAATAAGCTGAGATACATTGACATAAAGTTGAAAGTATTTATTATTTTCCCTAAGTGCATTGCATACAACGCAGCCATGCGGTTATGTGTCAACGTTTTTAATTAAAAATTATGCCTCTAAACAGAAAAAAACCCTTTATTCAGGAAGTGGTTTTAACCAGAAAAAACAAGATGATTAAATTTCGTTGCCATTACTTCTATGTTCTTTGCGGTACCGCAAAATTAAAATAGAAACGATGTCTCGATAAAAAATAAAAAAGTCCTATGGCTATGGGGAGGGACACGACGTTCAAACCTCTCTTGCAAAAAACCTAAACACAAATTACGGAAATAATCTGAAATTCAACTAACACTGCCGACGAAGCCGTTCGCTTCTTAGGTGCGCGCTTCTGCTTGAGTTCCGAACGATACCTCATGGCGCATCGAAATTTGCGTACAATTGGATAGATCATCTCAATTGATCGCATCACATCATTTTCCGACGACGCTGAAAGAGAGTTCAGTGATGTATTGACAAAGATGTCTGGTTATACTTATTGGAAATACTACTGAAAAAAACTGCTGTGGACGAGTTCCAATCAATCCTTCTCTAGACCTTTTCAAGAAAAGAGCCCTATAACACGGCCATCTTAATATAGGTTGCCGCAAAACCGTGTACAGAGAAAACTGCATATGACACGGGGAACATGCAACCAGCACCTGTAAATAGCTTATCAGAAGACATAAAGACCAACCACCCGTAACAGTTATGCTTCCAGTTGTATGAATTCGCAACGTTGCCTTCGGGTCCTGTGAGCGCCAAACCAGTCCGACTGACAATTCAGGTTCATATTGGGATTGTGCTGGGTAGTGCTGCGCAAGCTACAACATTTTCAGCAAAGATAGAGTGAAATATAGAACAATCTACTGATAAAAGCATACTGAAATAATAAGTAAACCAATACCTCCTCAATTTTGATCCCAAACGGCATCCTGCACGTAGCCAAGACGTTGCAGACCTGCAAATCACCACATTCAAAAACATGTAGGCGCCTTTCTTCAATTTTCTAGACAAACCTTATAATTCCTTATTCTGACTATATCCTTTTCTTTGTTCATCGTTTTTTGGACCCGTCTAGCAATCGTCCGTGCAGCCAACATGCAATCTGCCTCACTGAAAACCACGCAGAAAATACTACACCTGCTTAAATTCTGGGATGTAACATGAGATAGACAATGATAAAAAAAACATACCTCTTGCAACCAACTATATATACTTTCCCAGAACTATAAATTTTGACGTAGCAATTTGGCTTACGCTTTTGTTTGAGCAGAACCTGGAAAGCAGAATGCGTTGCTCTATAGGAAAACAGCACATCAATTTTGAGTTAATAATCCCATTGTTAACACATGCCATGCCGTAACCAAGCAGCCAACTGAATAAATGTGAAACAAATCGTCGGAGAACTTTTTACGCAATGAAGATCAATACTTTTAGGCAGGTAATCTGGAACGAGTACAGTATTTACGAGCTATCAAGGAATTATAAAATAAGGTAGTGGATAGAAAGTGCGGTGTTGATCAACTTCTGAGTGCATGCGCTCGACTTCAACAAAAATCGTTAAAGGTCACAGAATCCATATATGAGGTCTACACAGTGACTTACGTGTGTATACCGATGTATCAAATCAGTGCTGCAATCCTTCTAAACAAGTTTGATACCAATTTGCCTACCGCGGGGATGGAAGGATTAGTGAGCCTGGGGCGCGGGAATCGATCCCATGTGTATTGCGGGGCGCTTTCGACCACTGCGCTACAACTCTCTGACTACGTTAATGAATCACAGTATTATAAGCTGTCTTTTTCATCGTAACCCCGAGGGTATATAACTACGGACTATTGTTAAATTCGACAGTTTATTTTGAAATATAAAGTGGAAGTAATCAGCCAGTGACACGGTTCATCATATAGACTGCTAAAATTCAACGAATATACATTAAACTCACCCCACGACCTCTGTCGAAAGTTACATTATTACTGTTCAGGGCTAACTTCCGTAGATCAATATGTAAAGGTAGAGTGTAGTTGCAAACAACATTCCGAATCTAGAAAATTCTGATAGTAAAGATGAGCGAAAATGACACAGTGTGGCCCAGATAACGATGAAGTTGACGTTATTCAACACAATCATTTGATGTCATAGTCGTTTTACTTAACTTATAAAATGACCTACGCCACGCGAAAGATTTGACTTTTATAAAACTTCGAACTTGTCGGTAGACAATAACACACAATTAACGATTTTGCTTTTTTCACAACTGTCCAAAATTTCTCGAGAACTAAGGTCTTGGAGAATTTGTAACTCCGGAAACCTATAGAAGAGAGATCATACTGTAATTTGGAAGGCACATATAATTTCTTTAAAATGTTACTTGGTGTTTAAATTTGTTTACGACTCAAAGCTTCAACAAACCGATAACGAAAATTAAAACTTCAAAAAATCTTAACAGAGACATTGGAAACGAACGATGCGTTAAGACACATTTGTGCCACGCACCACAGCTCACTTGCTCAGTAGCCTCATCGTTCGAAATACGTGCCCCAGCGAATAAATAACCCGAAAGAAACAACGGTTTGCGGAGTGAAACAAACAAGAGTTTCTTCTCGATAGAGGAACGAAACTGGTGTCTTGTGGGGAACAGACATGCAATGATTCTTATATTCACCAATAAAATTCACTATGAGCTAAAGCTGTTGATCTAGAGTTGAAAGGCTTAATAATTTTTTTAAACGGAATTCAGATTGATTCGTACCGTCTGCCCCTGCAAGATCTACGGGTAGATGTCGCTTCCGTGAACAAATACGAAAAATTGATCGGCACTGGACAGACGCGCACAACTAGACATATGCCCGAATGGTCATTTCACTACATAGTACAACAAACCCCACCACAATAATATAATCCAGTATATTCTATATGAGGTGGTGTAATATAATAATACAAATAACCCAAAGCGTTAACTCTAGTGAAGAAAAATGGTAGAATCTGTTTGTCCAAACCTGAATATCAATCTCTCCATCATCTTCATCGTCATTTTCCTCTTGTAATTCGCTTGTGGAAGGATCTTGGACGACTGGTATAGAAGCATCTTCGATTCCCTTAATAGCAAGGATTCTCAAAAGTGCGATTCGAGATCACTGTTTTAAAAGAGCACGTCAAATTCTAAAAGTGTCCCTAGTAGTGGATAAAAGCTTTCAAGTTTACGAAGAAGCATTCGATAAACCATTAACGGAGGGAAACACGACAAGTAATAGGAATCCCTTCATTTGCACAAGGTGTTATAACTGAGTACTTTTGAAGTGTACATGCTGAAAGAAAGAGACATTACCGGTTCAGGAGACGGTTCGCGAATCGGCACAGCAAGATTGAGTGGTGAAAAGCCATTATCACAGCAGACGGATTCAGAAGAAACACTTTCGGTAGTAATGTTAGAATACGTGACGGTAACGGGTGTGTACGGAAAGTGCTGACCAGCATTGTGCACTCCGTTGCCGACGTACATCGCTAGAATATAACGTTCTATACACAACTTAACAATAGACGGACCTCTGACGCCTTAAAAAACCGAGACAGGATCTCAGTTTATAAAAAATGGCATGTACATTATTAACACATTAGCAACGATGTGCATTCCATAGAATCGAACGCGGCGTACCGACTAACCGGTGTGATCAATATAGGGGGTTACTTTCTTTCTAACGGTTTACTTTCCCGCATAACACTCTTTTACTATAAGAAGTTCTTAAAACCAAAAAATTACTACTCTTAGAAACAATCGATAGCTCAGTCAAAATAGATTTTGTGGCAGGCATCAAATGGTAAAAGTTGTAATGACCACATATACATATACATTTATACAGAAATACAGAACGTCTTCCTTCCCTCGAACGAGGCCATTGGCCGGCCGGCCGCCAAGCAGCCTGACTGGCAACTGATTCCTATTTTAACCGTAGTCACCACAATGAGTCATAGTCATCGGATGGAATGCAAGAGTGCAAAAATGTACCGAAATAGGTCAACATTAGCTTCCAAGTGCTGACAGCAATATGTTTCTATGATGAACGACATTAAGACCAAGTAAATAATAACACAAAGACCATTCAAACACACGGAGCGATACAACGAAGTTCTTCTCCAATTCTGCCACGTCCATGCTTTTCTATATTCCACGTATCCATCCGCTTTTCTACATAATCCTCCATACACTTCTACCTCACGTGTTTGGTTAAAAACTCCTTCAACTGAGGAGCTATCCGTCGTTTCCACTCGGTCTTGCAACAAATGCAAAGTATACTTCGAAACTTCTGTATATTTTTGTGGCCTCCTATCTCATAATTTAACCATGAAGCACCATAAAAATTGCAAAGAAGATGAAAAACATTTATTGGTCAAGATTTTAGTTTTAGATACTTGATTCATGCCAGCAGAGATGAACTGAACATTACTTCGGGTAAAACACCAATTCGAAGTGAACAATGAGAAGCTGAAGATACTGACGAAAGTAACGAATCTGTTCTACGCCTGCGAAAAAGTATGAAAGAAATAAATCGGAAGATGAGGACAATGATGACGAGGTCAGCGTTAAGTGTTCAAACAGGACGGCACCTCATTGTAAACTTTGTCCATGATCTTCGATGATAGTTATTCTAGACAAGATTAACTGCCTCACCGTGGATCCACAAAATCGATGCATATTTAAGAAATATTTATGGTTGATACTTTGGATTTGATCGTAAAGGAGATGGATAATGAAAAAACGTACTCCTATAGGAACTAACAACTCTAGAGGAGATCGAAAAAATTCCGCTTCTGCATCCAGCCTCTATAATTATTAGACTTTTACAGTTAAAAGACTATTGTGTTTGCTGCTCCACTTTAGGATCCGATCCTATTAAGTTTATAGACAATTTGCAACACATTTTAGAAAAATGTTGCGGCCTCTATAAGGAAGACAATATGATGGACAAGAAAACTTGCAATCTCAAATTAGACTATTTGTATGTTAACTTGTTAGCAGAAGTTCTAAGAGAATACGCAAGCGATGAAAAACGCGCGTACTACTGACTGTGTGCTACGGTATAGATGAGAAGTAGCACTCTAGCAATGTGGTAACTTCTAGTAAGCAGAAATATAGAATCAACGCACCTGGATTACGCAAGAGAGGTGACTAGACAAACTACACATACAAAACAAAAATGTGTTTCCTCAAAGACGAACATGAAATTTAGCAGATTCAGTGGCAATGAGGACCACGGACGACTAAGGAGAAAGGAAAGCATATGTACATCGATGGTTGTCAAGCGTGTCTCACTGGATGAAAAATTTTTTGATAGCGCTCATGTCATAAGCACATAAGGGAGGAGGAAAAAAGAACTCAAGCAAACTATTCAGTAAAGCTTACGAGAGAACAACAAACAGAGCGAGACTTTGATTGCAGATTCTGCTTAAGTGGATTTAAAGCCGAATTATGGACCCTAGATCATTTCCGTTGACGGATTATTGCTGACAACGTCGTTAGAGTAAAAAAAAAACTGGCTGAGAGATTAGCAAAGCGAGAGCCTCGGTCGATGTAGTGGATAGCGTGTGAACCTCGGAAAGATAATCGCTGGTTCGAAGCCCAACTAAGTCCCGAATTTCGCTCCCATCTCAGCATCCTTGTCATTGTACCGCACAAAACACTTTGTTATGAAAAAAGTCGGACTTTGCGAGATTGATCGAGGTTATAAAAATGGTATTAAAGTTGCTACGCCGCGTACCACATATGTCCTGGAGGAGAACTATCGAGTGGAGGAGAGTGGCAAAAAGAGAAGGGGTGCTGCTCAAAAATGCGCGCGGCAAGGGAAACAGCTGTAAAGAAAACTGCTGGATTGGAATGAATGCGTATCGTGACGAATGTGTTAACGGTTCATCCACACCAAACATTAGTGTAAGACATACAAAGCATCAAAGGTAACATATGAGATACTAATTTCCTATGGTGGATTCACTAATACTTGCTAAATCCGACAAAAACTAAGAAACATTGCGTGATCAACATACACTGTTGCTGGTGCAAATACTGGCCATCCGGAATCCCGTGTTTTCCAACGTACTGCGATCGCTGCTGAATTGTCTGCTGCTGTACAACCAATGGACGGCCTTTTAATGGTGCATCCAAAGTAGGCTGGCTTAAGTGTTGTGCATTACCTAAAGACTGAGCTAAGTCTAAATACTAAAGTACTAAAACAAGATGACGTATTTCTTCGATTAAATAATTTCAGAATCAAAACTTCAGAATTCCGAGAACCAAAATCTTCCACCGACTTATATCATGTTGCTGATTATATGGCAATTGCGAGGAGGGCTGTGGTGTCCGCCAGATCTGTCCCGCTGGCCTCGTTTGCATTGATGGAGATCGAGCGCATTTCGACGCTTGAACTACTCTGAAATACGAGCTGTGCTTGCATCATAGCGAACATCTAAACAGATAGATTTCACATACATATCTTGGAAGAAAGTTATAAGACATACCTAGTGAAATAATAAGACTGATAAAAGGAAAAAATATTACTGACAAAGTCACGTTTCCACTTGGTGGAAAGCTACGTCGATAACCTGATAACTTAATGTGGACCTCAATATGGATTAAATAAGAACACTGGGTACTTCTTATCACAGAGTATAGTCATAGTCTGAACTCAACGTCAGCATAAACTAAAATTTTCCCAGTTACAAAAGCTTTTGCAGTGTTCACATTATTACACTGTATTACACGGTGTGTTACACTGCTTTAAGCAATGTAAACCATTATTTGCTATTTAAAAAACATCGTCGAACTTCGGAAGTACTAAATGATACGCGGAGACAAGTACAACTCAGATTAACACAGAAACAAAGTGTAATAAATGAATAATAACTCATAACTAAGCTGAGAGTTTCGCAAAACTTGGACCCCAGGCCAGAACGAACCACAATTTAGTATAAAGGATAAAATGATAAAGCGTTGATCAATTCCTGAGGGATGCGCCATGCATTCGATTTCATTAAGTATCGTTTGGAGGTGATTGAATACATATATGGCCTTTACAATGACTCGCTGTGGCCTACCGATGTATCGAGCCAGTGCTGCTTTCCTCCCAGACAAGTGTGATACCAACTTGCCGACTCCGGAGGGATGAAAGGCTTGGTGGGCCATGGGAGCGGGAATCGATTCCAAGTGTGTGTCGCAGTGGCGCCTCCAAACACTGCGCCACACGCGCCCATCACGATTTATTATAAGTTAAAATTATATCGGCTACATTATATCAAATTAAAAATCATTCGGTTAATATCATTTTAATAAAAATTATAGTAGGCAGCAAATAAAAGGTTAACAATAACAACTTAGTCGAAAAAAAAGAACACACACGCACAACTCGTCTTTCCTCAAGACGATAAATCCTTCACAACAACAAAAAAGTACTTTCAAAGACTGCTAAACAATGGGTAGAAGCAAAACGGACTACCTCTGTGATTGTGCTGGACGAGGAACGCCAGAAGGGTTTGCAGATGCTGAAGAATGTGGAGGTGCCATATAGCTGTGGTCGTGATCATAAGCAGAAACACTCATCGCCGTAGAATGAGTGAATTCAAAACCCTTCAACACAACAATAGACTTGAAAAACGAGAAATGAATCCATCAATACCAGCAGCATAACCTAAAGTGCAAAGGATAGCTAGGTATGGCCAAGGCCGCGCAAGAATGCGTCATGGTTACCCAAGCAAAGAACAGTTCGCTCAATTTCAGACAGAAAATCAACCCCAAAATAACAAGGCTATTCCTCCGTGCTATTTAAGGAAATCAGAAAAGTGCCGCTAAGAAAAAAAGAACACCAGTAACTCAAAAGAGTTCCTAACTTCTCGTGAAATCACCATACCAGTCAATGTCACTTAAAAAAATAAAACTTGAACCCATGACACTCTCTCAATGCTGAAGAAGAACACACAAGACAGTGATCCTCAAACCCAGAACTGATGAAAGATGAATACCACGGATCCAAGCTAATGCAAAACTGCCCACGGTGAAAACAACAGCCGCGTTGCCTTGGCGATTCATGCCGTGGCTCGGTGTCGTTTTGCCGCAATCGCGCCCAATGTCCACCGCGACGGACGCTTGTGTCGTCAAGTCTGCCTGAGTCGTCTCGGAGTTGAGTAAGTCTTCGAAAGACTCTGCCAAATGTTAGCGTAGGTTAGTGCTGCTATTAAGACGTTCCTTATGTGCCGAAAGGGTTCCTAGTTTCCTTAATCACTTGAGATCTCAGTTGTAACGTCATTTCGAGTTGCCTTCAACTTGCTTTATTGTTAAATGTGATGCTTCATAGTTAAAGCTGTTAATTCTTCTGCTTTTTCGAGTTAAAGAAATGTGTAGTTTGTTGGGGAATGTGTAGTGGACACTGTGGTTCTGAAATAAAAGGATAAAAGGATAAAGCTGTCGGCGTTGATCAGTCGCCGAGGGATGCGCTATGCATTCAACTTTGTTAAGCATCATTTGGACGTGATTGAATGCATATCTGGCCTTTATAATGACTCACGGTGACCTACCGATATATCGAGCCAATGCAGCTATCCTCCATGACAAGTCTGGTACCAATTTGCCGACCTCGGAGCGATGGAAGACTTAGTGGGCCATGTGCGCGGGGATCTATTCTACATGTGTGTTGCAGGGCGCCTCTGACCACTGCGCCACACGCGCCGTGGTGCTGAGATATAGAGTCGAAAACAACGTGCAAAACCGAAAAGACGAATGCATCACTATCACACGTGATACATCACCTTATCTCAAGGTGAATTTTTGATGCACACCCCATGAATGGGTCTCACTCATCATCCCTCGTGAACAACACACCGGTGGGTCCAACGGCAAGGTGGGTGGTTTTTCAAAATTGGCGTCTTTTCATATGCTGGATCTTCACTAATACTAAGCGCCTAGTTGTGGAACTACTGTTACGTATGATACGTCCAGGCTCTGAATAAGGCGTTGTCGCCGAAACGTCAGCCATTGAACAACGATATCAGCAACAATAAGAACATCCATAGCAGGCACGCATCGGCTAAAAATGTGCAGTTCTAAAGAACATATATGCGGATATATCGATTATTGTGCCGAGTTTTATAGAAAGTCGATATTTTGATGGTGGGATATTTGCAAGATTTGGGCCCTAGGCCAGGTCGAACCACGATTACCCTTTCGGGGGGTGCAAGTGTTACGCACGGTACCACTGAAGCCCTCATGTTGCCTTTCTCTCAGCCACTTCTCTACCTAATGCTCCCATCTGGCATGGGGCCGAAATTATGCAAATATCTCAGTGCTGTAGTGGTTGCATTTCACATCTTACCCTGCTGTGAAAAGTAAAAATAGGCAGTAAATAAAACGTTAATTATTGCGCGGCACGCAAATAATGTATTGCACACTCAATGAAAGTCTAGGGAATAGTTAGAGTCTAGTTGCCTTCATTGTACCACTAAACTAGTTTCAAACACGACCCGCATGGTGTGATGGAGAACGCGTTAGCCCCCGAAAAGGATAGTAACGTGTTCGATCCCCACTGCGGACGCCTTCAGTTCGGAGTTTTGCAAATATCTCAGCACCTTGTGGTTGTATCACAAATGATACACTGCCATGAAAAATTTTACTAGGTTGTAAATGAAAATCAACATTTCCAGCAGATTCCGTTATCGCATCTGCTGCGCGGGTGCCAGCACTCTCATTCGATTCGTCTTCTAGCATTGCTTGAGGATTGTCGTCTTCCTTGTAAATGTTGAGTGCTGGTCTAGTCGGTTCTCGCTGAAATCTTGGGATAGCCGAACTAATGGTAATGCTAATGGATCGAAGCAAGTCGGAGGGGCCGACGCAAGTCTGCTAGCAGTTTGCTGGATGCGAGGGTATGTGGGTGGTCAAACCAGTACTGTGATTGCGGTGGACGGCATCACTACCACTGCGCTACCCATAGCTTCATGAAGATTACTTATTTACTTGGATACTTAAACGGCCCATCCTCACTGGTTGTGCGGGCTCCAGCATAATCTCCACTTTTCGGAGTTTTGTTAGTTAGCCATTGCATTTTTCTGGAGCCCCGAGGTCAGCCTAGCCAAGGTCCACCTCGGGTCGTTAGCACCACAGACGGTTGCCGCCGTTGTGGATCAGAGGGAGGTTTGCCACCATGCAGCTAGTTTGATACAAGGACGGTGGTGCATCCTGGTTTCGGTTCGTTATTAGCTGGGCTTCCTGATGAGAACGTTGGACTCCTCAGCTTGGAAGACCCTGCTGGGCAGAAGAATCCCTCCGCTGTAAATGGCAGCGCGACACCCAGGAACACCTATCAGCTGCGATGAGGAGGTAAACCGTTGGATGGTTCAGGAAGATTGGTTCGTAAAATTGAACTGTTCTCTTTACTCTTGTTGAGCAAACACGAGGTGTTGTTTTATTTCTTTGTTTACGAACAAGCTGACGTTTTGGCGGGGTTCGCCTTCCTCAGAACCCAGGAAGGTCAAACTGACAGCGGTCTACCCAGCCAACCGCGTCCATAACCAAACAGAAAATGCTGAACCAAAATTCCAATCACACACAGAATAGCTTCTTCGCACACTCACCACTTTTTATGAGCCTTCCACTGATATGCCACGTGTAGGCCAACAGCACAGAGTTCACCTGTGCTTCTCACATTAGAATAAAAGACTTAAATACTGACCGATATCACGCGTGATTATATGGTATTCCTCTTTGCAGTTCATTTTCGAGTTCTTGGAATGTAAGCAGAATGCTCGGATAGTTTTGCGCACTGGAGTTCATTCTTAAGGTATTCTTTTAAGCGGACGCAGAGTTGTCTACCCGTTTTGCCAACGTATTCATCCCCACATGCTTTAGAAGAGATTACCTACACCGTACCCGAACTCACCTACGTGTGAGCGTGCGAACTAGCAGTTTAGGCACCCCTTTATTAGTGTAATCAACTGCTAAACCGTGCGGCCATACATGTTTGCTGCTCTTTCGTGTTTTATAAGGAGTTCGAGGATGGCTTCCATAGCGAGGTCATTCGACACGTTGGTATGTCGAAGGACTCCATCAGGTACGTGCTGCTAGGACGCGCATTACGTAGACGATCCAGGAACATCTGGTTGTTCGTTAGATGGGCTGGAATGTGCTTCAACAACTGAGTAAGTATTTGGGTTAAAAACAACGTTATCCCATCCGTTGGCCCGTCTGTTCAGCTCTTGAAGGTCTAGCCTTAACCATGGATCACTAGACACAAGATCATCACTGAGTGCTAAAATATAAGTTTTGATAAGTGAGTATAAGACGTGATATCTTGCTAAATTAATTTTGAGTTGAGACATAACTGATGGCTTTGAACCAGCCGCTTTTGCCACTTTAACCCATTTTCGATTAATTTCCTCTATTGACTTTTAAATTCCTTCTCAGATGATGGGCGATAAAGGTAGGTATCTCAAAGATAATTTTTCGTTATCTCGACATTTAACTGATGAGGAATTACCGCAAACTCTCCACCCTTAACACTAACGGATAGTCTTATGTTTTTTAACCTTATCAGCGTTCGTACATCCCGCATACCACATTTTTGGACTTCTTTGAGGTTGGAGCGATATCCCTTCGCGCGATAATGATTAACGACTTTGGAAATTTCATTTGTAAGCATCCGAAACTTAACATCAATTTCATTGTTCGGTTCTTGTTGTCTAAAGAACGGTTGAGCAAACGGCGATAAGGGAAATGCTCCTACTTCTTGTCGTTCGCTCCTATTTAGCGCTTAATCTCTAGCTTTCTTGCGGAGTCTACCTGAAGTTCATGCGAATTACATGTAAGCCTACGCAACGTTACCTTGGAAATGGGTACAAACGGTGAAAAACTTGGGTCCAATTCTAATAGCGAGCGCATCCCGTAAGGAAGAGCCATGCCTTCTAGCACGTTTAGTCTTGCATTTTCTGGTACATTATTTATCGTAGTCGTTGGATGCGTCTGACGCAGTGGTCGGAGGAGCCCTGCAACACTCGTGGGATCAATCCCCGCGCCCACTACTCATCAAGCTTTCAATCCCTCCGAAGTTGGTGAAACCGACCATCACTTAACTTCACCAGAAGTAATCAATGGACTAGCTCATTGACAAGCTTGCAAGTTGTTACAAGAATTTATCGACTCAATGTTATCCCTTCAGTGCTGCAATGATTCAGGTCGAATGTCCGCAACACACGATATGTAAACCCTCCGTAGTAACATCAAGATTTTTCTTCAGTTTTGGGTATTACCGAGCATGTACTCCTAATTTTTCAACGTCTGGTTCAAGAAAACTCCACTACGCCGTGTTTAAATCTTTAATAAGAAACAAACATAAAGAGAACATGAGACGATACCACAACGCGGCCAGTTAAGAAAAAAAAACTACCAGGCAACATTATCACCAAAAAAGAAAGTGTACATCCTGCGCCCTTTCAACCTCAAAAATATTAACGTACGAATTTGTGATGGAGCGGGCGATCGCTGTGTTGTATAAACTGTACAAATATGCAAATCAAAAACGTGATTACCACATACGGTAGACAAAAACACCAGCTGAGAATTCGTCTCCGATGACCAGTTATGACTACTGAAAGAAAAAAAGGACTTCAATACGGATGAATAATGAGTTGTAATTGTAGACACTAAGTTCCAAATAGTGTGTGATCTATTAAGTCTGATAGTAAACTAGATTGACCTGATACTACTCTTGATAACGGTAACCGATAAAGGGACAAAAATATTTCCAAGAAGAAAATCGGCCAGACAAAGATAAACAACGGTGATGTGTTCGAAAACAACATGATACGCAAAGAGGTTATACGAAAATACAATGGCCGTTGTCATCCTTCAGTTGTAGGTGGTGTATACCAACCCGACTTGGCGTGTATTTGCACCAGTGATTTGAACGACTGCTGTGCTCTTGCCAAGCTGTACTGCGCCTGAAATAAGGAGTAGTATTAAATCACCAGCAAAAATTATAAAGAAACTAATAGTCAAACATGACAAACACAACTTGCAAGTTTCCTCTTGCGAAACAATCAGAGAACAAGATCCGTGAAATCACTTTTTAACCTTTACTCCCTTCAATAATTAAAAGAATAAAGGACAAAGCTGTCGGCGATGATGAATCCCTTAAGGATGCGCCATGCATCCGACTTCACTAAGCATCGTTTGGAGGTGATTGAATGCTTATCTGGCCTTTACAATGACTCGCAGTTACCTACCGATGTATCGAACCAGTGCTGCTATCCTCCCAAACAAGTCTGGTACCAGTTTGCTCTCCCCGGAGGGATAGAAGGCTTTGTGGGCCAGCAGCATGGGAGTTGATCCCATATATATTGCAGGGCGCCTCCGACCACTGCCTCACACGCTCCCCAATTACTATAATAATTAACTAATCCAATAATTATAACGAAAAAATACGCTTTTAAAATATCATCTGTACTGTTCCAAAATAGAAAACAATACTCGTGATTCAAAAACGAACCTTTGCTTCAAACTGTATCCGAGCTTTCCCCTTAACAAGAGTGGCTGCAATTTGTAAAATTAGTGATTCAATGGAGTAAGCCGACGACCAACCCTGCTTTGTTAGCAATTCCATGCATATGGCTCCTCCACCAAGAACGTACCCATTAGACACCTGGAAATAAAATAATAAATGAAGAGCAAAAATAGCATTAAAACATAATGATATAGCCGCACTCACTGTGGGTGACACCAACCGCACGAAAGGAGGATCACAAGGGAAATTCTCATTGAAAAGAAAATGGAACAATATGTGGTCTTGCTTGTGTTCAGCAGCCAACGTAGCAAGATCCGAATAAAGTGCACTATCGGAATCTACCTAGAACGAGGACGATGTCGGAAAACTACTGCATGTAAGTATTTTTCAAATTCATAAAAATATCCTTACCTTATAAAGCTTCACCCACCACTCGTACAAGTTATCATCATCACGTAACTCAATTGAGTAAACCCCTAAAATTATTCAACTCGGAACCAGCAGGTGAATTATGGAGCAAATATTAACGTGGCATAGACAAAGATATTTTGAACGTTTAACTGAAAGTGAAAACTAATTAAATAACCACATTAAAAATAGATCGACCTCAAAACCGCATTGGAATTGCTGAAACCTAGGGCAAAATCAAACATCCTATTAATCAGTAAACAGGCTCATAGCTCAGGAGAAAATTTCAGCACAAAAAGGTGGCTGGAACAAAAAACATCAAACGCTCGACTTTACCAGTGCGTTCCTACCTTCTCGATATAAAAACCAATATACAAGTAAAAGTTTTTCGTCTTATCACAATTGAATTCTGATTCTCAGAAGTCAACAGGATATGTTTATTCCACTGCACTGCCTCAAGTGTTATACACGAAAGCAAATGAGCAAACGACATTTCGTAGAGCAGGGTAAGATGTCCTTCACCAAAGTGCCGTTAATGTTTGCAGTAGCCATTCTTCCGACGAAAAAATTAATCTTAAATTTAAAGCATTAATTCTAAGTACAATTAAATGATTAAACTCTAATTCGTAGTGGTGGTGTGCCACTCAATAAGAGAAGTGCGGATTCGACCACGCCCCAGACGAACCCAGACTGCTATTCCTCTGGGGTTTGTAAATCGGTACTAAACTCATCTGGGATCAGTTGGCTCCCTTTAATGCACAAACATTGCGTTTGTTTGTATTAGAGATCTCAGAACTCCTCAGCACGCCTGCCACAGGATTCGAGGAAGAACGAATTCGATCAGTATTCGACGACATTCAAGGAAAAGATCAGAACCTTTAAGCAGCAATCACCAACACGCAAAAATTTCTAGATCATCGTGAATGAAGAATTCGAGGAAACGAGTCGAATGAAAGAAGCGCTGAGACCCGCACGTGCGACTTCGGACCGTGCGAAGAAGAAAAGACAAATGAAAACAAATTTATAGTTGGAAAGTGGCTGTGTAAGAATTACCCATGCAACTGCTGCCATAGTTAGCTTTATCCATAACTTTACAAAACTCTAAACTCTTGAAATACTCTAATGATCGAAAAACCATCGTTTTTTTGGCAAAAACCAGCTATGTCACGAAAGTGTTGAAAAACCAACCATTCTTAAAGTGTTCACTTTTGTAAATATCTCTCATTTCCTTCATAAGACGATCTGTGGCCGTTACCGATCCTTGGATCTGTAAAATCAAATGATTCGAAGTTAGAACAAATAAAACTATGGCATAAGACGCTTAGAGTTTAATGTGACAGGCGCAGTACCAAAAAAGACAGTTACTTGGCTAAGGGTTCGGTAATACTGGCTAACTAGGAGGAATTTATTCAGCGCAGTGATTAGTGATGCCGTCAATCAGGAAGCAAAGGCGTTAATTCGATCTCGGTCACAACGCTCTCCTCCAATCCTCGTGGGAACGTCTCAGCCCGACTATCACCAAGACTGCAAGGAGAATTGGCTTGACCAGCATTCTACGACACTCATAAAAAAGATGAAATCCTAAAGCAGCAGCTGAAATAACACGCTAGACGTTCGAAGACCAGTGTCGACGATACTTACTTACTTGATATTTGAACGGCCCGTCATCACCAGTTGTGCGGTCCCCAACACAGTCACTGTTTTTCGGAGATTTGCTGGTTAAGCCATTGTGGTTCTTTGGAATCCCAAGGACAGCTTGGCCAAAGTCTGGCCCAGGTCGTTACCACGACAGGCAGTCGCAGCCCTTGTGGATCAGAGGGAGATTTACCACCATGCGACTTTGATACCAAGACGGCGGTGGATCCTGGTATTGGTGTCGACGATAAAGGGGAGGAAAACGAATCGAATGCAAGAGGCGCTGGCATCAGCATAGTAGATTTCATGATGGACCATGTAAAAAAAACTGGTTCTAACCAGTTAATCAAAAGAATGAAAAGTCATAAAAGGAATTTTCTTCGTATTTTTGTTGAGCAAACGCGAGGTGTTATTATTCTTTGTTCACGATTAAGCTGACGTTTCGGCGGATTTCGCCTTCCTGAGAGCCGCTTCCTATGAGGTTTCCACTAGGTATGTCACGTAGAGACCAACCGCACAGAAATCACATGGAAGTATAATGTAACATGCGGTAACAAGTATAACATTAGTATAACATGTGATTTCTGTGCGGTTGGTCTCTACGTGACATACTTAGTGGAAACCTCATAGGAAGCGGCTCTGAGGAAGGCGAAATCCGCCGAAACGTCAGCTTAATCGTGAACAAAGAATAATAACACTTCGCGTTTGCTCAACAAAAATACGAAGAAAATTACTTGATCAATGCCGAGGTTAATAGAAAGTCGGTCGTGGCCGTCATAAAAGGAGCAACTGCCACAAATACAGCATTAACATTCAATGTAGACAAACTACCACAGAAAATCTTTACATTTCCATTAAGGTGCTGTTGAAGGGTAGATCGGGTGATTTTCTCAAGCATTATCTTTCCTTCAGGAGAAACGTCATCATCTATGCTACCATGAGGCTCTTCCTCGGTCATATCGACTTCGGCAACCTTAACATTCTTTTCAACGAAACAATGAAAACCATGACAACTTTAACAACTCTTAACATAAAGTTATACTTCCACCACTTCTTCGCCGTCCTCTTCGTCAGAATCCACATCACTACCTTGGCCTTCATCTTTCAAATCATCTTCGTCAGGTGCTAGACGAGTTAATTCGGATGGAACCGTTATGTTGTACTGACGGCAAAGATGGGAAACCAGCTTATGTATCTAAAACATCGAATGTGCAAGAATCCAGTAAATGAATCAAACACTCTTTTAACTCTAATGGTAAATTATACCTGTGTTAAAAGACAAGTTTGCTGATCACCCTCAGAAGAGAGTCGTTCTAGCGCGGAACAAATCACAACATCGTCGGACTCGCTGAACCACAATGGAGCTTGTCGTGGGTAGTCTTCCTTAATCTCTTACCATTGCGAAACACTTCACGTTTAAGGCTACACTACTGAGGCCCTTGCTTTGCGCTGCTCTCAGCGGGTTTTCTACCTAACACTGCAATCAGCTGACACTCGTTAGCTAATAGCTGAGAGAAACACAAAGCAAAGGCCTCAGTGGTGTATTTTGTAACCCGCGAACCCCTGAAAAGGCTAATCGTGGTTCAATCTGACACGTGGTCCAAGTTTTACGAATATCTCAGCATAGTTGTGGTTGTATTTCACATTATACTCTGCCGTGTAAAATTGTAGTGCGCAGTAAATAAAAGGCTAACATTGTGACTTCACGTTCATTTTCTAATCACTCCATCGGAGAAACTTGATGATATACTGCCCTATTCGACTTACCAAAATATTGGCATTGATAATTACCGGTCTACCAGTTCCATCGATAAATCTCAGTGCTATTTCATCTACAGATGCTACAAGCACCTGAAAAAAGCAAACGTGTAAACATTCGTGTGCTGGAAAATAAAAACTTAAGGTTCTAAACTTGAGAATACAGAACCACGTAACTTTTCCAGTACTAAGTTCTTGAAGAGAAATCACAGCCACTAACCTGTAACCGTTCATGATTCTTTGGAAAAAGCGACTCAAGAACTGAAATGTCGTCTTTCAGCTTCCTAAGGCACGCCATTTAGGCGCGCTAAGCGATGTATATACCCCTAAAACACGAAGGCTGCAGTGAAAAAGCTTTGATGCACTCTCTACGGACAACGGTAAAGAAATAAGAATAGGTGGTTACATCGTAACAACAACACTTCCCTGAACGAACTCAGACAAATAAAGCAACAACATAAAATGTACGCACAAGAGACGACATGAAATGGTGAACTAAGAGCTTTTACAAGCAGATACCTGTCCACCTGGCACGCATTGAATCCACTTCATAGAAACAATGAAAGACTGCACATAAAACCCGTACATAAACAGGTTAAGAAAGAACGAAATGAACGAATTATCTTGCAGTCCACTAATTTATAAGCCACACAGGAATTACTGAATACGCCAAGCAAAATCCGGGAAACACTTGGAATCCTATGTTAAGAGATAAGAACTCAACATAACCACACCATAAAAAAGAACCACTGCATTCGATCAATATGGTCCGTATCACAGCTGATTTCTCCTCGTGCCGATATTGGGTCCCACGCGGAAAATCGCGGTTCAGTTCGGGTCACAGGCGGGCATGGCGTAGACATGGTGACGGTTGTCTTGGGCTTCTCCGGACTCGGCGGCGTCGAAGTGGCAAGTGTGTGGAGCTGTTGCCCAGCGTAACCATTAAGTGGGGTCGATGTGCGGAGTCAGAGGTCACGCAGGACCTCGAGGGCGATTCGGTAGCTGTTATGCAGTTTCATAGGGTAGAGCATAGATGACTGATGTGTGGTCTCATAGCGATGCCGGTTGCTTCATGTGTTCGAAATTTCTTAAGCTGTACTTGTACTGTATGCATTCATTTCTTTTTATTTTTATATTACCCGTCTTCACATCCACTGTGTTGATCCCAGCACTTCATACATTCGATTCGTTTCCTTGCATCCATCATCATGAAGGTCTTCTAACTTATGTGTGGCTTGGGCTACTGCTTGAGGAAATGCTGGTCGAGTCGATTCTCCCTGGAGTCCTGAGATCGTCCCACTGGAGCGTTCCCAATTGGATTACACAGAGTGGTTTTTTCCGGACAAGTCCGGTACCAATTTCCCGACCCAGGAGGGATGAGTGGTTTGGTTGGTCTAGGGGCGGAATCGAACTAGCACCATGCTCGTGATAACCGACATCACTACCACTGTGTTATCCGCCTCATACTGATTGCATTAGAGACTGTTTATATTGAGTTTAAATGGAGTGGATCTCCATGACCACGGGCGCATTGTGTTTCGGAGCTGTTGAGCAGTTGTATCGGTTGAGTACTCTTCTGCTTGTTAAATCGAGCTTGACAAGTATCTTCTATGTCGTTGACATCAAGTGCAGTTCACTTTGTTATCGCATAGTTCACGCAGGCATAACGTCGATCAACTCAGGGCATAACAAAGAGCACAGCACTTTTCGTAACTCCAGTTTGACTTTACTGAAGGAATAAATCACCGCTTTACATTGCTTTCCATTAACTCAGGAAATTCCAGCAGCCAAGACGGGGTTTTGTACTATGAGAGAATACAAAGAAAGCTTGAAGATCCTGGTCAACGTCAGCATTGTTTAGAAGCGTTGCCACACTTGTGTGTCATCCACGTGGATACGAGTAACTGTGAATGGCTCGTTTGTGAAAGATTGTTTTTCTTTCATCTGTTCTGTTCCGTCGTGTTGCGCAGTGGTCGGAGGAGGCGCCCTGCAATACACATGAGATCGCCCCAGGCCAACCAAGACATCTATCCCTCCAGAGTCGGCAAATTTGTACCAGACTTGTCTTGGAGGATAGCAACACTGGCTCGATACATCGGTAGGGCACTGCGAGTCATTGTGAAGGCTAGATATGCATTCAATCACCTCCAGACGATGCTTAGTGAAGTCGAATGCATAGCGCGGCCTTCAGGAATTGATCAACGCCGAGAGCTTTATCCTTTTATTCTTTTGTTTTGTTCCGTCGCATTTCCTTCTAAAGTCCAAATATTTTGATGTTTCTTTTGTTACCTTTTGATCTTTGCTGATTTTGCTTCAGTAGTTGTGAAACACCATCCACATTCACAGTGCTAAGTACTTGTCTCCCTAGAAAATGGAAACAGGAGAGGTTGTTGATGTGGAACAGAAATTTGGTCGTGGCCTTCGTCCTGAGGTAAAAGCCATACGCATTCTTGGAGTCGCTAACAAGTGAATTAGAGGAAGTGTTATCATCATTCTTAACTAGAAGTATAGCTAGTTCATCTGTCCAATCGAACGTCGGAAGGAGGTTGAACCCCGCATGTGTCTTCTGTTTGACTTAACTGAAGAAATGCAAACAAATTTGGATATTGATCTTAAAGAATGTATAGTATTCTCTGCAGAACTTCTCCAAGTCCATAAAAAACCGTCTGATCTTCGTCATAGTTATAGTTGGTGGGTAGTCAATGTAGATTGTCAAAGACGGTACTTTTCCACATCTCGTCAACTGTAAATGCCCCATTCAATTTGTATGTTGATCAAAGGAATTGGCGTTCATGACCAAAGTTGTGTTGACGACGGCACAAACACCTCATCCCTACACTAGCATGTTTCGTGGAACAGTTGTATTATGGTATCATACATGGGGTTTAGTGAGCAGTATCAAGCCTTATCTTAATCAGTGAAGGATTAGCTGATAGCGTGGGACCGTTGATAGCTGATAGCGTGGAAGTCCAGATTGTTGGTATGGTCTTTCCACATTTGACCAGCTTGGAGTGGCCTTGAAATCTTAGCAGCCTATCCATATTCGTCCCACCCAACCACTAAAGTATTCACGAGGTTTTCTGGGCAAGCGACTTGAGAGGCCTACCATTTCCGTGCCTTGTGGCGATTAGTACACAAGCAAGGCAAGCTTGTCGAGCCCTGGCTGGGAGCTACACATACGTACAAATAGATTAACGAATTGTCGGGCTTTCCAGACCATACGTGAGGACTACGAGAAATACTTGTTTGAAGGGACCGCGAACCACCTCAAGTGAATCGGTTGAGGGCTTTTGGTTGACTTGACGAACGGGACATAATCCGCATAAACATAGGTAGGCTTCACCCATGCATGCATGAAAATGCCCACGTATGTAGAAAATGTGTGTGTCCTTCTCGCACATCATTAATCACACAGTGGATCTACCTGGTTTTGGGTTTTGGAGAAAACCCAGGTTAATCGTGATCTTGAAAACCAGTTTTCATTGAACGCGGAGTACAATAATCAATAATTCTTTGCATGATCGAGCTAATACGAGGTTGGTATAAGACTTTTATTTGGCTAACGTTTTGATGCTTTCGTCTTCTCCAGAGCCACATTGATCCGAGTCGACGACACACAGGTGGTCGTCTTCGTGATATGGTTGTTCATTGTCGCACTGAGTTAAATCCAGTGGAGAAAGTTCGGGTGGAGAAATATCACGCAACGTACCAGCAAATGAAGTACAGACTGCTACAGGATGCACTGCCCGCCTAAAGTAGATCATTCTGGAGGCGGGAATTGATCAACAGCTGTCCTGTATGAAAGGGCACAGGAGAGTGAAGTGAACCATTCGATCGGTGCTCCTTTCACTGTATTCGACTCGATGCGACAGCGAACGACCAAATCAGGACGACGACCAGCTGTGGATCATTGACTCGAATCAATCCGGTTCTGAAAAAGACGGAAACATCAAAATGCTAACTGAATAAAGGTTTTTATACCGACCTCATGTTAGCTCAGTTATGTAGAGAATTAAAACTCAGGTTAGTTTTTCATCAATGTCTAGCTCTAATTTTGCTACATGCGGGTGAACAAGACCCTCGCAAACATCGGGTCCAGGATACCTTAGTGAAGGAGACCCGTGGCATTAAGGTAATTAGATACAGTATTCTTTTTCGGAATTCAAAATTATGGAATCCCTCATCGTAGTGGTTGACGTTGGTAAGTTCATCGACGTTTATGTAGCATAATGTGCATAGAGACCGATACAAACAAGAGAGAGGGAGTTGTTTTCCAGTGTAACGGTGCCCTACTAAAAAAGTACGAAAGCTTTCTTACAATCAATATCTCAAAATCCTTCTGGACCACACAAATTTTCTGAATTTCGAAAACCACCAATTCGTTTCCTTCCACTGTTTTCATTTTTGTTCTAGGTGACGAGTACTGAAGTGGTAGTGAGCGATACCGTTCATCATGCGCACGGCACTGGTTCGACCCCGCACCGAGGTCACCAAGCTTCTCTTCCATATAGAGTAAGAAAATTACAACCATACTTGTCTGTTAACAGCCCACTCCCGGCTACCGTATTTCGTGGTCAGCCCAGCAGGCTACGAGCAATTTTTCGTCCGCTGCGGACTTTCTGGTTTTCTGACAATAAAAAATCTTTTCTCAATAAATAGAGGAGTTGAGGGGTTTTAAGCGTGCAGGATTATAGAAGAGGACGGATTGCTGGCAGAAAACAAGTTATTACCAATGAACAATTACTATCAACGACAACCGACCAGTATAAAAGAGCATGGCCGGGTGAGGTTCCTCACTCGAGAGTTGCTCCACTGGGTTCTACTATATGCAGTCGTGGAGACCCTCATTAGAAGGTGGAAGTGCTGTGGACAATCGGATCGGATCCATCCAGTTCTGAGGAAGGCGATGGCGCACAAAAGTTAGCCGAATAAAGTTTTTTTTTTAAAATTAACCTTGTGTTAGCTTACCAATGAAAGAACACTTGTGGAAGAGACTTTGCTCTATTGTTGGATGCACATAAGTGATACATATCGTACTATTTATTATGTGTTACTGTGGTCTATATTGCAAGTACATTGCTGTGTATATTTGGAGCTATTTTCCAGCTTTGGTCGAGTCTATTTCGGTACTTCTTATTTTCACTTATTCCATAAAATAACCATGTTTCGTCAAAGGGGTTAAAGCGAAATACCAATGAAAGATCTCGTGCGCAGTCACTCTACCCGAGGAGACTGACCGAAAGGATCTTCGTAACTTCCACCCGATACGAATATTAACTGTACAATATGTATTCTTTC